TTGGGATATCTGATTGGGAGTATTGTTGTATCTATTTTGTCCATTCTATTGATTGTTAGTTTGAGGATAACCATGTATCTTATAACATCTGTCTTTGGTGTGCCCTGGCCTTCTGCAGTGTTCACAATAAGGTCTTGATCTGCCATTGTTGTTACTAGAAGTGGAAAAATTTGTCCTGAATTATTGTCCTCCATTTGAGGAACTTGATGAGCTAGCATTCACAGAAGGAATCATGGATGAATTCATTGAACTTCCTTCTGCAAACATTTGATTACTTGGCTTGAATTCCCTTTTTTTTCCTCCTGAACTAAAAGGGCAAAAGCCTGAGCCATAGATGGCAAGGGATTCATCATCAATATACTCCCTCTAATGATAGTATAAATTTCGTTTAATCCCATGAGAAATTGAATTAGCCTCCTGGCCTGTTCTGCCTTGTGTATATTTTCCTTTCCTCCACAGCTACATTGATCCTTGGCATTCATATTGTTTAATTCTTCCCACATCTTCTTCATTCTAGTGTAGTAGACCCTGACTCAAATCATTTATTTCCTTTTGGATTTGATACAACTTTGCTCCATTTGTTTGATCATATCTATTTTCTAATTCCTTCCACAACTCCATTGCATCACACACATACTCTACATTGTCAACAATTTCCTTTCCAAGAGACTTCAAGATCCAAGACGTAACCATATTATCATATCTCTCCCACTGTTGATATTGAGGGGAATTGAGTGCAGGCCTCTTACACTCACCATTTATAAAACCCAACTTGTTTTTCACAGAAAGGGACCTCCTTACAGTTCTTCTCCAAGATCTATATCCAGTACCAAGAAATTCTACTTGAACAAGAGAAAGACTAGGACCATCAGATGGATGAATGCAAAGAGGATTACTTACGTCAATGATGTTATTTCCTGTAGGAGAACTGGCGGGATCTGTAACTTCCACCATTGTGAATTGAATTCAGAGATTTGATGAACTTTCGACAACTACAACAAGAAATCGAACAAAGGAATGAACTACGAGATCTAACAGGAGCGAATTGACTCTGATACCATGATGAAACTATCGATATAACGAGCAAATGATAGCTAAGATGACGAAAAACTGTGAAACTCCCTTGAAGGAGAATAGAGAGAATATATCAGATTGTATATAGAATATGAATGAATAGTTGTGTATTACAATTGAGTAACAACTATTTATAAAACTGCTATCTGTAACTAACTCTAATTATCAACAACTAACTAACTCTAACAAACTATGGTGACGTGGACAATAGAACCTTCCATCCTCTTCTGCAAATATCATCTCAACAAAATCTCTTTCCCTCAGATTGTTGTTATTCTTGGGGTTAATCTTTAATCAACAATAGAGCAGTTATCTTTATCTAATAAAGTCTTTTATTTGGAAACTGCTTTAAATCGTTCAATCACGTTGTGTCCATTTTTAAATTTATTAAGTTTCCGTTAAGAACTTGGCAGAGCCTTTTATATATATTTTTTAAAAGTTTTGTTGCATGTCCAAAGATGTTTAATTTTTTAGAAAGATTTTTCTAAAAGCAAATCTTTTGAAATATTTTTATTTTCACGAAAGATGGGAACATGTTTCTTTTAAGATTTCAATAGACTCTTTTAAGTTTTTTCTTGAAATCACTCTTTCCTTTCAAATATGAAAAATCAATGCATTTCTTTTAATTTTTTAAAACAAATTTTAAACTCATGAATGAATTTTCTTTTAATTTGACCCTCTTTTATGTTGGGAAAGTCATTTATTGTTCCGCGTGAAATTAATATTTTTGATTAATTTTATAACTTAAGTTAGCTAGTCATGATATTACTTTTATCTTTCTAAAACCAATTAGCACCTAGTTATAATAGATATTTTAAATTCTTTAGTTATTTCAAAACCTTTTTAAATTTAATCTAAGTTTGATCAGTAATCATTTTTAACGGATCTTAAAGGATACTTAATCTCTTCCCTTTAGGATAACTAGAGCCCTTATCTAGAATCACATAAATTAAGTAGATCATTAATTGTAGTTTATTTAGCATTACATTAGTTAAATATTTAGGTGTCCTAATTACCCTAAAAATAATTAGGTGGCGACTCCTTAAGTTCATTAATTTAGGAATCACCAATTTGTTGTACATTATTTGATGCGAGTTAAAATGGGTATAACAAGGGTACTTTCAGTTTCTTTCAGTTCATTTATTTATTTATTTCATTCGGCCTTATTACATACCGTACATTCCATGTATAGCGTCATTTGGCGTTGCACCATTTTATAATGCAGTTCAGATACTCACGATAGGTGACGTTTAGTAAGATCTCTTTTCATCAGCATGTGGTGAGACCTCCTTGATTTCGGACTGGCATGGCAATAACTGATCAAGATTTTATAGGTAATATTTCCCCTTACGTGTTTCCTCTGCTGGTTGCACCAATGTTGTCTTTGCTTCAAAATGAGCTTAGATTAAAAATACTGTATTTAAGTGCGGGGGGTGGGGTGTTTAGGAATTGAATTGGCATGAAATGTACCTAAAAGACAAGAAAATGCAGCTAATAATCTGATTCGATCAACGTGTGCTGTGAATCATGCTTGGAGGGCTCTCCAAGTCAGACGTCAACATGGAGTGGTGGAAGGACCAAAATGTTGCGTCAGACGATGCATTTAAGTGTGTAACAAAGGGAAAACGGTCCAAAACTCAGGGAAGCATACCAAGACTGTCATGAGGACACTACGAAAAGTTGAATGCCTCTATATGTTGTGAATTTGTGCAGAAATGTGATGAGATTAGAACAGATGGAAGTCACAACGAATCTTCTTCATCTTTAGATGATAAAATTGCTACCAAAAGGGAGGCCTTGGTAGAATCAAAACAGTTAAATGGAAAATCAGAGGAATTAGATAGAGATGAGGCATATGTAGTTAAATAAATGGGTGACACTAGAGAGAAAGGAGATCAATGACAAATTAGGTGGCTGTAACCTTAAGTTGCCTGATAGTTAGAAATGCAAATAGGCACGGAGGTAGATATGCAGAAATTTCGATACTAGTACTGCTAAAATGAGTTTGCAGATTAGCAATGATTCAGTGGAAGCACAAACGGTACATAGTGATACCTTCCATTAGCTTGACTAATCCAGATTTGTATAGTGTAGGGCTCATTAAAGGGGAAACACTCCCTAGGACCAGGAGTTTCCCTAGGTTCGATCCAGTCCATCCGAGTTAACTCCTCAGTCTTTGGGTTTAGTCACCAAACAATATCTAGGACAAGGGGTCAACAAATAACTATTATTTCTAATGGATCAAAAGATCTTTGTATTTTTCTTGTTTGCGAAGTAGACACATAGGGGGAACAAAGCATTGAACTGTTTACTATATAACCAATTATTTTTAACGTTTATCATGGGATTTAACTTATAAGTAATTTGATAGTCTAAATATTTTATATACCACACACGAATTAAAATTTAAACTCATATAGGAATGAAAGGGGACTCAAGAAGATTATGAGCATCAACAGCAAAAAAATATAAGAAAGTTCATTCAAACTCATGTTAGCGATTTGATCAGGCATATTTTACACATCGATAAGCACAAACCATAAATCCTAAACCCCTAAATAAAACTACCGGGGCAAAATATGGGCAACTATCACTATAATGTCATCACGCTTGCTACCCACACGATATTTGCCAACTTTGAGGCAGTCTATGGCAAAAGGTGTATAAATACTTTTATTTTCTGATTTCTGCAATGCATATTCTGCAATCTTTCGTGCTAACATCTTTGAAAATGTTCCCAGTTCGCGCAAATCCACTAGCCCGTCACATACTAATTTCTCCAACTCAGTGTCGTGAGCATTATCGAACAATCCATCTGTACCATCACTAGCACATCCTCTATTCTTACTGTAACTTCAATTTCTTGTGGCACACTTGGATCATCAAATTTAACACCATTCCCTAACCGAAAAGGATAATTGAATCCTTTTTGTTGAATTTCTGATTTGTAAACTATTACCCCGTCTCTTTTAACAACAAATCTGTTATCTCCAACATTTACTGCGTGTACAATATCACACGTTAAAGTCAAAATACAAGCCGTTGATGAACCTTGACATTTCATGTTAAAATAAGCCTCGTTGAGAACTTCCATTGGATGAATTTGGTTCCTTTGATCTTTTGGTTTGTGAATCGATAATTCAACGTTTCTAACCAGTTGTCTTGAATATTCTCCAGAATTGATACCCTTTTAGCCCAACCACCAATGCCATCTGCTACACCTATAGTTTCTTCCTCTATGCATATAAAATGTGCATCTTCCCAGAGAGGCGCTTTGTTAGATTTTGGTATGTAAAACGAGCCAGCCACCATCTTCATCTTGAAATTCCCATTAATAAAACTTAGACATTAGTACTCTCATCCCAAAAGTTTAGATCCTCATCTATATCAATCTCGTCTATAACATTTATCTCATCTATATCGATCCTGTCTATAGCCATATAAGAAACTAGTAAAGAAGTGACAGAGTCAAAAATTTATATAAGGGGATTTAAAAAGAATTACCTGATTACTATCGCGCTTAGGATTTGAACTTGTGACCTAAAGCAATAATTGAATTTCCTTCACAAAAACAATCAACTCTTGATGCTTTTCTTCATCGAAATTCACTAGTTCATTTATAATGAAAATAAATAAATCATTTTCCATAATTGAGCAAGACGCCACAACATTTTATGGACACTGAATAACACCTTGAGATACTAGGTAATCTCTGTTTAAATTTGTTTGACCAATTTGACTTGGCAGAGAGTTGAAGAAATTAAAACAGTCTTTTGAATCTTGTGGTATAAATATAAAGATATATCAAATGTATTAAGATGTCCATTAATTTTATGGTCTTAAACATGTCATATGGAAAGTCGAAACTAAACAATTGCTTTATTTTAAACTTTTTTGGAATTGTTTAGTTTCTACTTTCCATATGATATGTTTCAGACCACAAAATTAATGGACATTTTGATACATTTGACATATCTTTATTTTTATATCACAAGATTCAAAAATCTTCTTTATTTTGTTTAACTCCATGCCAAGTCAAATTGGTCAAACATATTGAAACAGAGAGATTACCAAGTATCTCAAGGTGTTATTCAGTATCCATATAATGTTTTGCCGTTTTGCATGATTACGGGAAATGATTTTATTTATTTTCCTTATATATGAACTAGTGAATTTCCATGAAGAAATCCGTCAAGATTTGATTATTTTTGTAAAGGTAATTCAATAATTGCTTTAGGTCAAACGTCCAAATCCTAAGCGCGATAGTAGGTAATTCTTTTTGAATCCCCTTTTATAAATTTTCGATTCTATCCCTTCTTTACTAGTTTCTTTAATTACTATAGATTAGATGAATATAGATGCTATAGACGAGATTGATATAGACAAGGATCTAAACTTTTTCGATGAGAGTACTAATGTCTCAAGTTTTATTAATGGAAATTTCAAGATGAAGATGGTGGCTGGCTCGTTTTACATACCAAAATCTAACAAAGCACCTCATGGGAAGATGCACATGTTATTTGTATAGAGGAATAAATCATAGGTGTAGCGGATGGCATTGGTGGTTGGGCGTATAAGGATATCGATTCTGGAAAATATTTTAGACGGTTGGTTAGAAATGTTGAATTATCGATTCACAAGCAGAAAGATCAAAATAACAGAATTCAGTCAATGGAGGTTCTCAACGAGGCTTATTTTAAACACGAAATGTCAAGGTTCGTCAACAACTTGTATTTTGACTTAAACGTGTGATATTGTACACGCGGTTCACATTGAAGATAGCAAATTTATTGTTACAAGAGATAGGGTAATAGTTTACAAATCAGACATTAAGAAAAAAGGATTCAATTATCCTTTCCAGTTAGGGAATGTTGTTAAATTTGATGATCCAAGTGTGGCACAAGAAATTAAAGTTACAGTAAGAACATGGGATGTGATAATGATGTCTACAGATGGATTGTTCCATAGCGTTCACGACGCTGAGTTGGAGAAATTAGTACACGATGGGCTAGTTGATTTGTGCGAACTGGGAACATTTTCAAAGATGTTAGCACGAAAGATTGCAGAATGTGCACTGCAGAAATAAAAAAGTACAAGTATTTATACACCTTTTTCCATAGATCGCCTCAAAGTTGGCAAAGATCGTGTTGGTGGCAAGCATGATGACATTATAGTGATAGTTGTCACGACCGACCGCCACACCATTATGTGACTTAGACTCTACATGACATAAGGTTGTCCATGTGGAATATTTATATTGGAAGAACAATAGTCCTTAGTGGAATATTCTAGAAATATAAGGAGAATTGCATGAAAAGTTCTTGGAATCTTCTAGTTGTGTAGAGAATTTTAGAATAGGGTCTTGTACATAATTAATATTTGAAAATTATCCCCTAGTGAGTAGTATAAATAGAGGGGCACCCATTTGTAATGACATCAAGCAAGAAAGGCAAATCTTCCAAGTCTTGAGTAATACAAGAGACTTCTTAAGTAATTCTTTTGTGTCTTTGTTTAATCTCTTAGCGATCTAGTGTCAAAATGAATTGCTTGAGCTTGCAAGACCGTGAAAGATTTGTGAGCGAGTTGTCAAGTGCCGCACGGTGTGCTTAGTAGAAGTCTAAGGTTGTGACATAGTTGCCCGTATTTTGCCCCAATAGTTCTATTTAGGGGTTTAAGGTTTATGCTTATTGATGATGTAAAATATGCCTGATCAAATTCGCTTACATGAGTTTGGATGGACTATCTTATCATTTTATTCTATTGATGCTCATAATCTTCTTGGGTCCCCTTTCATTTCTATATGAGTTTAAATTTTAATTGAAATTGCTCAGAATCAGACTCAAATTGCTCATTGATTTGGAAAGGTAAGGTTATTTTTGTGTATGTTCTTTATCTTTAGACCTTTTCATGTTGATTATCAGTTATGATTATAAATTTCTTTCAAAAGTTTTGTGCAGAAATGTTAGGATTAGCAATGACAAAATCTGAGTTGAATAAGTTGTGTATGGAAGAGAATGGTTCGATGATCAATGTTGAAGTGCGATGCAAGCATGAAATCATATTACAAATGCAGACCTCTTGGTCAGATCGCAATCCGAGAAAAAGATTTTGGTCTTGTCCTCACTATGAAGCCATGAATTGCAAATTTTTTTACGGAGAGACAAGGAAAGAGTTGACGAAAGATCTTTGTTTATTCTTCCGTGATTGGTGAAAAAGACTAAGGAGTTAGAAGAAAATTACGAGTATGTTAAAATGCAGTTGGAAAAGCTTGAGAGTTCCAACATGAATTCAATGGACATTGAGCATTCGAAACAAGAGAAAATTCATTTGGATGAAGTCGAAAGTCTTCAAATTTGGTATGAAAATCTCAACATCAATTCAAAGGATCAGATGGGTGGCGATGTAAAATAAATGGGCGATTTGAAAGATAATCATTTGAAGATGAAAGGGATGAAAAAGAAGAAAAGAAGCTGTCGATTTTTTGGGAAATTCCTTTGGTGTTTGATGATTTGTGTCGTTATTATATATGTTAGTTTTCTAATCCAAGTAGGTAAGTTGAAGAATAACCAAATGAAATTGCCATAATATGATATGTATTAGAGCATAATTTTGTGTGGTATCGAATACCTCTATTTGCCCTACCATAATGAAAATTTGAATTTGCTTGTGTCTGAAATTGTCTTACTTCTATGCTCTTTTCTGGAAATGACTGATTCATTGGGTTTAAGAGTACTACCAAACTCTCAATTGCCAAAAAAGACAACTAACAGTACTACTGAAACAAAAACAAAGCTTCACAGAAACAACTCAACTCTCAATTGTAGGCAAATAGAAAAAAATTGATTCCAAAAGTGAACTTAAGAGCAAACCAAAGCTTCGACATTGCATAAATACTAGAATGTTAAAATTATTTCATACATATAACAAAAAACAAGAAATAATTTTTTCTCCTTAAAACAATAAGCAAAATAGTATCTTAGTGGCACCAAAACAGTACTAAACAAACACCACTGATATCAACATTATAGATTTCATGAGTCTTGAGGTTATGAAGAGGAGGAAGTATTCGATTTGAAAGATCTCTGATCTCTTGAAGCCTTCTTGTTGTGATTGCTTGATTTTCTTTCCACTTCAATCCACTTGTTGGTTTGAAACCAACGTCTCTAGTTACAATTGCTGATCTCAAGACTCTTTTTGGTCCAGTCGATAATATTATGCTACTTGGTACTCCAGTCTTTAGAGAGTTGAAGTTATTAGAGAACAAAAATTATCAAGTTATTAGAGAACAAACATTATGAATGTATCATAATACTTACATTGAAAGTTGTGAAACCATTTTCAGGTTGAAACACACCCATTCCAGTTACTCTTGGCCTTCTAAATTGGGTTGTGTTTCCAACACCCTTTCCTTTCCTGACAGTAGCAGTTTCCTTTGGTGCAACATTTGTACTCTGGCCTACATAATGTGTTGTACTACCTTGAGAACATGTAAACAAACTTTCAAGTGGTTGATAAACACCTTATTTCACTTCTCATTCCCCTACCTCTCCCTCTACCACTCCTAGTTCTTGATGATAGTCTAGCACCCATTGCACTTGACCATGCCTTGATGATCTTGATGCACTTGGTCACCATGCCTTGGTGATCTTGATGTACTTGGTCTTTTGTTAGAAGGAAGTGCAGTGGTTCTGGTGCACCCCTTTATACACTTGCGCTTGCTTCATGCCTTAGTGATGTTGAAGAACTTGTAGATGCAATGGTTCTAAGAGTACCCCTTGATACACTTGCACTTTCTCCATGCCTCAGTGATGTTGAATGCAATGACCCTCCAGGTCATTTCCTCTATTTTCAATCTTTTCAGCGTTTAGATCTTTCCTGAAGTGATCCCAAGTCATTAATGACTTGCTAGGACTGTCATTTTAGCTATTGAGTCGTCCATTTGAGTTTTGTGCAACTTTCCATGTTTTGGAGCTTCTAGAGTTTGTACGGTTGATTTCGATAATAATCTTGGAAAATGGCCTCAGAATAAAACTCAAAGAGTTCTATTAGCTTCAGAACATCGAGTTAAGTCTAGAGTGACCTTTCATGCAGATTTCGAGGCTTCCAGTCTCATTTCCAGCCCTATTATGGATTTTGGCTTAAAATGGAACTTGGGTGTGAGATCCACTTTTCATCGTGATTACCTTTAATGGATGTTTTGATGTTTCCGTTAAGTCTGGAATGTCATTTCAGAGTGGCTAGCACTTTTGGTTTGTGTTGTTTGGACCCTAAATGAGTTCTAGGGGTCTATTCAAAGTTTGGAGCTTTCTTGC